CTCCTCCTCCTCCTCCTCCTCCTCCTCCTCCTCCTCAGCTCTGCCCTCTGCTCGGCAAGGGGCTACTGCGATCGCCCTCCGCGCCGCCGACCGGCTCTGGGGGCCGGAGGTTGGCCGTCCGTCGGGTGCGGAGGCTGCGAGGACCTGGGTTCCCGGGGCGCTGCCAGAGCGCCCGAGGCCATCCGCCGACGCGAGGCCCTGGATTCCTGAAGCTCTGCCCGTGGGTTCTGGGCAGGCCGCTGCTGGCATCCCGCCCAGCGGCAGCGGCCCCTCCGGGGAGTCCGGGGATCAGGCCCCCAGGGCGGCCTCTGAGTCGGCGACGGCTTCTGGCGGTGTTAGAGCTGTCCGTACTGTGTCTAGTACTGTGAGCTCGGTTCCAATGTGCCTACTTTTTTTGAGCAGCGCCCCCAGGGCTCCAGATGCTGTGTCTAGTAACAGCCCGCCCTACGAGCTCATCCGTGGTCACCACATGGTCACGGAAGGGCCTTTTGTGTATTGCCTGAACTGCGGCGGCTCTTCCGCCTCGCGGCAATCACCAGTCTTGATGGGTAATTGTGCTGGGCCCGTCACCTGGGAGATCAATCGTGCTCGCACCACGGCCCCGAGAAATCTCAAGGCTGGGTGCCACCCGCGCACGGGGCTTCCCCTAAGCGGCAAACCACCACGCGGTTGGTGTAGCCGCCCATTTGAACCCTCGTGGCTCCCTGGTTAGCTGTCCTGGCCACGGAGTCCATGTGGCTTGCGTCCTCCTCCCTCCTTCCTCCTTACTCCTCCCTCCTCCCTCCTCCCTCCTCTCTCTTCCCTCCCTCCCTCCCTCCCTCCCTCCTCCCTCCCTCCCTCCTCGTCTTTGTCCACGTCGTCCCTCCTCCCTCCCTCCTCCCCCCTTCCCCCTCCTCGCCCCAGGGCATGAAGAAACTCCCCGAGCTGCAGGCGAAGCTGAAGCCGGCGCCCCAGCGCCGCCCCTACCCCCCGCGGAGCTCCTCGGCCCGAGCCGGAGGGGCGCCGAGCGCGCTCCTCCTCCTCGCTCGCCTCGACTCCTCGCTCGCCTCGACTCCTCGCTCGCCTCGCCTCGACTCCTCGCTCGCCTCGCCTCGACTCCTCGCCCGCCGCCCCCCCGCTCCCTCCAGAGCGGGGGGAGTCTCGCGCCCGACGGCGGGCAGCGGGCGCGGGCGCCCGATGGGCGAGGCCAGTGAGGAGCCGCCTCGAGCATGGCCGAGGGGGGGGGGGCACCGGGCGCTCCTCCGCGTTTCGGGGGGCACGGCGAGGCCCACCGGGGCCCCGAAACAGCGACGAGGGAACGTTGCCACGGCTTCAGGCGGCAGCCAAGTCGAATGGCCCGGCGAAGCGCCCAGCTTTGCGGCCCGGGCCAACGGCGCAAGGTTTACGGTCGACGCTGGCGCCGTGCCCTCGGCCACCACTGCTGCCCCGGCACGCCCGCAGTTCTCAGGCACAGGTGCTCCGGGCAGCCCAGCAGGGCCACGGGCTGCCGCGGGCCCTTGGGCCAAGGGCGGGTCCATTAGGACCTCTCTCCCGCTTGTCCCAGAGACGAGTGGCACTGCGTCGCCCATCCGCAGAGCTGGCCGCACCCCCAGCCACGCTGGCGATCCACCGGGATCCGCGGCGCCAGAGGCGCCGGCCGCCGGCCCGCCCCGGGTCAGCCTCGACGGCAGGCCCGACTTCGAACTCGGCACCCCAACATCCTGAAGGCCGAGGACGACGCCGGCGGAGATCTCGACCAAGCTGAGGCCGAGGCTGCGGCGCAGCAGGTCGTGGGCACTGCGCGGCGCGCGAGGGGCGCTGCGCCCGCGCGCGCGGATGCATGGCCGCGCGCGCGGCTGCCGCCGCTGCTGGGGAGGGGGGTCGCGATCGCGAGGGCGATCGTGCCCGCCGCAGCCGCCAGCCACGCCGCCGCCGCGGCCTGCCCCTGCTCTCCCGGCCCCTCGTGCAGATGAGGAGGACTGTTCTTCTTCTTCTTCTTCTTCTGTTTCTTCTTCTTCTTCTTATTACTACTATTATTTTTAGTATCATCATTATTATCATTATTATTCTGAGTTTCAGTATTCTTGGTATTCGTATCATTATTATTATTATTAGTATTATTATTATTAGTATTATTATTAGTATTATTATTATTAGTATTATTATTAGTATTATTATTATTATTGTTGTTGTTGTTGTTGAACATTATTAATTCTAAAGAATAATTATTGTTGGGACCCCTGGTGCACGGCCCCCCCGCCGCGCCTAGGCCGCAGCTACATTTTCATCATTTTTTCGCGAAAGCTTCAGAAAAGTGGATGGGGTCCAGATCCGGTTGTTTTGTTGTAATCCGTTTTCCCTTGCAAAAAACACTATAAAATGACATTTCTTGTTCTAATATAATCAAATTTCAAGAATCCCTTGCAAAAAATAAGGTAAAGTGGACATTCGCGCGCGCAAGACGAAATCCTTCCAAAAGCTTAGTGTTCGGAGCGATTTTAACATAAAAACATCAAAAAACCAATGGTTTTTCAACAAAAAAATGTCAAAATCTCATCCCGCGCGCTCTTGCGGATTCGTAGGAAACCCAACACTTTTTAAACATTTCTGTCAAACGGGCTTTTGCGAGCAACTTTTTCGAACTTCTGCGACAACGGTTGCGCACCTGCCAGGGCCATCATCCCTGTCAAATAATACCATGCGGGACACATTCGTTTTTTCTTCGCGCGCGCACGCCGTCGTCGTCGGCCGCGGGGCCCTGAATAGTAGCCACGGTCGTCCGCATGCCACGAAGTGAAGTGTCCGAACGTCATAGGGCGGGAAGCTGGGTGTGGGTGGTGGCGAAGAGTCGTATGGAAATTTGGTAGAGCTTGAACCGGCCCCCCCACAAAGTGGGGGTATTGCCCGCCTCCTATGAAAACCCTGGCACTGGTGAGAACGGAGTGTCCCCAGTCTTAAATGATTGTTGTTGTTGTTGTTGTTGTTGTTGTTGTTATTATTATTATTATTATTATGATCTTTATTATTGTTATATTTATTATTATTGTTATTCATATTATTATTATTATTATTAGTATTATTTTTATTATTATTATTATTAGTATTATGATTATGATTAGTAGTATTATTATTATGTCATCATTATTATTCTGATATTATCATTATTATTATTATCATTATTATTATTGTCATTATTATTTTTATTGTTATAAGGATCCTAAGCTCCCCCCCCTGGCGTGCTTTTCGGGCCGGGTCCCTTCTGGATTTCGTTAGCTGCCCTGACAGGCCGCGCTGGCGCAGCCTTCAATGCTAGGGGCGACCCCAGCGCAAACCGACGGAGACGGGCCCCAGGTGGCCCGCCCAGTTTGGGCCAGCGTCGGCAGCCTTGGCGCTAGCTGGAACGTCCTCGCCAGACTCCGTGACCACCACAGTGCCCCCACTGGCCGCTCTTCAGGAAACCCTCGGGCCGAACGAAAGGGGGGGATAGGGAAAGGGGGGTTACGAAATCTGCGGCGTGCAGCTGGTTTCGGCCCCGCCGCCAGGGCCCATTCCTGAATGCATGGGCGCCTCCTGGTGCCGGGAGGCGCTGGTAAAATTAGCTACGTGAGCTGATTCTCCCCCTCCCCCCCTTTGCTATCCCCCCTTTCGCCCAGCTGGAAGCCCGCCGCCCGGCGGCGCGATTCCGCGCCCTCGGCAGGAGCATGCGCTCACACGAAAACTGTCCTTGTCAAGAGGGGAAAAAACATAGACACAATTAATCGTCGATTCCCCCGAAAAGATGGGAAAATATGGGAATGGGGGGGGAAGACAAAAACCAAGAGCATATGGGAAGATATGGGGAATCCTGTTACTTGTGTGCATTTATTTGCGTGTCCCAGGGCCCCTTCAGCTTGGAGGCCCCTGCGGGGGCGCAGTGCCCCAGGGACGGCCGCGTCTTTCGTGGAGCGCCGCGGCGGCGGTGCTGTCCGCGGAGTCCGTGCGGCCGCCGCCCACCGCGGAGGTGTGTGCGTGTGCGTCGCTGCCCAAGTTTTCTGAGAGGGCCCTTGCCTTCTTAGAAGCCCCCGACCTTGCTAGAAAGTGGCCTCCTCGCGATACCCCCATGTGCGCATCTCCAATTTACTGCGCTGCTGCACGGACAGTTAAAGCCCCAGTGCGCGTCGCCCATTGCGGTTGGACATCGACGCTGAGCAGTTATGTTCGCGGTGGAAAAAAAAGTTGCCCTTGGGGATGCCGCTAACGACGACCCCGCCGTCGCGACGCTCCTCGCGACCGCGCGATGTGCGGAGGCAGTCTTCCCGATCCCCGACCCTGTCCCCACCGCCGGGCAGAGCGGTGCCATGTGGCGCAAAGACGTCGCCAACGGCACATCAGGCTATGACATCGCGGCCCTATGCCATCAGGTTTGGGCCGCCGCGAGCACTGGGGTACACGCCGTATTCTATTTGCGTCGACGCCACCAGTGACTCGGCGCTCCTTTGCCGCATCCCATCGTTGGGCTGGTCGAGTGTAGCTCGTGGGTACCCCGACCAGCGTTCCTCTATTTTCATGGGCAAGACCTTGACCGGGACCGCAGACCCCAGGTGCAGGCAGGACGTGCGTTGACTACGTCTTTGCCAGCAACGCAACACAACTCGTCGCTGACTTCGCCCTGCTCCGTGATCTTCCTACTCGGCAGCACCTGGGCCTCCTGGTCACTGTCGGCTCAGTCCCTGTGCGGCAGCCATCAAGGCGGATGAAGAGCGTAGTTCAGTACCCGCTGGCCTACTTGTTCAAGTGACTGAGATGAGTAGCGTGCCGTAGGCGACCGCGTCGAAAGCATGTGCCAGTCGCGTATGGGCGCGGCGGATCTCGCCAACGATGTGGACAACATGTTCGAAGTGGCCAGCCAAGCCGCGCGCGCTCCACGAGGAGCCTAGCCGCGTCGCCCTCTGGCAAGGCGCCAGGCTTACCGCGGCATGCGTGGCGCCGGCCATGTCCAGATGTGGAACAGAGCCAAACGCACCTGGACGGCCGCCAACCTGCTGGCGCAGCGGCGTCGACCGACTAGCCCTACGGAGTTCCTGCATTTGTGGTGTCCTCAGGAGCTGCCCACTGACATTCAGCCCGACCACCTCATTGCACGCACGGAAGCTGAACGCCAAAGGTGCAGCCAACGCGACAAGGCCGCCCGCGTCGCAGCATGCGCAACCGCATTCGAGCCAAGGACAGAGGCAAGGCCAAAAGCCACTGGGGTCAAGCCGCAGACAACTCTGCACCTGCTACCTGCGCGCGCCGTACAGTGGCCCTCCCGACGCGTCACCAGGCACGTGGGGCTGCACTTACGGCGGTGAGGAGGGGCCAACCGGCGAAGCTCTCCAGGCGCATAGCCCACCTGGGTCAAAATCTAGGCCACCAGGCCTACAACCACCGCATGGCGATTCACGATGCATCAGCATGGGGGGAGCATATTTGCGGTTCCTTGCACGTGCCACTGGTCACCTCCAAGGCAGTTTTTTTCTCACTCGGCGACATCAAACTGTTGATGTATGGACAAAGCGACAGCGCCAGCACATGCCGCGACCCCGTCAGCACCACACCTGTAGATGACAACAATTCGACGGCCCCCACACACGGCCAGGGAGTCTGAGACATCTCTTGACGAAGCTACCCTTTATGATCGCCTCTCGGGCCAGAAAGTCCACTCATGCAAAATGGTGGGATGGGCTGTTGGGGAGGGGCTCCACCACCGGGTTGCAGCCCTCAAGCTTAACGGCCACCCCTTAAAGCTTACCACCAGGTGAAGCTAGTGGGGGGCTACATGAAGGTTGTGCCAGCAGCGGAGAGCACGGACCTCAAGCTTGCTGCCGCTGCCGACGACCGAGTTCGCCGTGCGGTGGCCAGACCCCCCCGCGTCGGCCGCCTCCCTGACGGTGCCCGCGCGAGGGCTCTCTCCGCAAGGTCCTTGGTGGCAAGGATGTGCGCCGCGCCAGCATCCGAGCCCCCAGTGCGAAAGCGCGCAACCGTTACAACGGCGCGCTGTTTGCCGCCATCCGCCCCAAGGGGCGCCTATGGATATCCCAGTGGGCACCGTGCGCCTTCATTGTCCCAGGCCGTGCCCTGGAACTTGGGCGCCATCGCGCAGCGGCAGGCGCTCTTCGGATCGCGCAGGCATTTGCTGCGAGACGCCAGTCTCAACGCCCGAGCTCAAGGGGCGCGCGACCACGCGCAAGCCTTCCAGGGCGATTTGCATATAGTTGAACTCTGGCAAGCCATCGCCCACTTGGATCGGAGCTGGTCAGTCGTCGGCACGATGTGTGACGACTGGGGCGCGCATCTGTCGTGGTTGCACCCGTCCGTTGGGATATTCGCACACATGCCCAGAGCATCGCAGAGGCGAGCCTTCGAAACCCTACCATAAGAAGACATGACCTCGGAGCGGCGGCTGCGGTGAAACATGGCCTCGACTACTTCGCCAATTGGCTGCAAAGAACCAAGGATAAAGCCAAATGTGCTGCGTGGCAACTCGGCCTTCTGTGCAACTACCTCTGCGGCGGTGACCACGCACGACAGAGGAAAATACGCGCGGGAATCTCGGCCGACCCGTCACCGCTGTGCCGATGGTGGAACCAAGAAGAGAAGGCTCATGCGCGCACCTCCTGGAGTTGCCCTTGCTAGGCCCGCGAGCGCACTGCCCCAGCAACAATGATCTGCGCTCGCCTGCGCTCTCCTTTCTCGACCGGGCCTTCGTTCCTTTGGGGTGGTTCCAGACCTCTTGTGCCCTATAGCAAGGATAACTGTGGCAATCGTCCTTAGCGCTGGGCCACACCGAGTCTGGGCTAGATCAGTTTGTGCGCCTCCCTCAGGCGGTCCGCGCCTGCTCTGCACATCCCCACACGAGCGCCTGAGGAATGGGTCGCCGGTCCGGGCGTCGCGCTGGAACGGCCGTGGCCGGCAACGCATGGCTCAGATGCTGGCCGCTCCTGGGTGGCCAATGGGGGGGGGGTCAGGGTCCATCGTGGCCGGGTGGCCCTTCGGGACTGCTGCTGCTCCCAGGTTGTGCTTCCTCGGGCTTTCGATGCCCCCCCCTCGTCCGCCCAGCGCTCCAGTCCTCGGACCCCTGCGGCCTGTGGGGCGCGCCCCAGGACTGTCGGACCCCCCGCGTGACGGGGCGAGCCCCGCCCCGCCGCCCCCCCCCCCCCCCGGGCGACCAGCAAGGATCACTGTGCCCGCAGGTCCGCCAGCGGCATCCGCTTCCCAGGACACCACCAACCAATGGACCAAGCTCCCTCCCTCGTGCCTTCCCTCCTCTCCTCTCCTGCTCTTCTTTTGGGGGCGTTCCTGCGCGTTCCTCCTCCGCCTCCTCCTCCGCCTCTTCCTCCTCCTCCTCCTCCTCCTCCTCCTCCTCCTCCTCCTTCTCCGTCTCTCCTCCTCCTCCTCCTCCTCCTCCTCCTCCTCTTCCTACTACACGCTTCTCGTGTATCCCTCGGTTCTCAACGCCATTCCTCCCCTTCCCCTTTTTACGTTGGGCCGACATAATGCACCGCGGGACTGCACCTTCCCTTCCTCCTCCTACTCCTGCCCCTCCCGCTCTTCCCCGTCCCCCCCCCCTCCCCTTCATTCCTGCAGGTTGGCGCTTCAGGCTGCCTCACGTGTGCCTGAAGCGTCTATTGTCCAGTGTACATGTCGCTTCGCAGAGGTTCGGCAGTGCGGTCAGAAGGTTGCGGCTTCGAGGTTGGAGGTCGGAAGGATAATGAGGGTATGCTTTGGAGGAAGGCTGGAGGTTGGTAGCTTGGTGGCTCGAAGGCTGGGGTGCTGTGGGTTGGGGGCTCGAGGGTTACAAGGTCGGGGGCTGACGGGTGGGTAGTTGAAAGTCAGATGGCTTGGAGTTCAAACGGCTGGAGGTTGGGAAGGTTCGGGCTCGAGAGCTGGCTGCCGAAGCGAGGGGACGGCCTTGAGATCTGGCGCTGCGAGACAATCTGCCGCAACAAGTCACGACCGGAGCCCCTGGATCCCAGCGTTCTGCTGCACTTGTCGAGCTGCATCGGTCTGTGATGGCCCGGGGGACCGAAACTGGGCGCAAGCGCCCGGTGTGACAAAGTTGCAACGCCCAGATCTGAGAAGCCCAGACATCTGGCTGCTCAAATTTTTTCGGTGCGCGGGCCCTGGAGGTCTGGACCGCTTCCCCATGGCCAGGTTTTCGCCTTGACTTGTTTGTTGACGCTCCCAAGGCCCGGCGAGGCCCGCGGAGGCCGAGAACGGCCAGAGACCACCCGCTCCAATTTTTTTGGAGCGTCGGATCTCTGGGAGGGGGCCTGCTGCTCGCTTCTTCCAGGCTCGTCGGGCCCGTTTGGCAGTTTTCGGGGGCCGCTCGGGCCGTCTCAACGCGTCTGGCCGCGGGTCCTGGGTCCTCGGGCTCCCGTCGGCGGCGCAGCACGCCGCCAGAGGTGCGTGGTCTGCTTCTGAACGGCAGGCTGGCGTTGCCCCGCTCCTGATCCGAGTGTTTATTGAACTTGACTCCTCCTCCTCCTCCTCCTCGTGCCGCCTCCCCCCTTCGTCACCCCAGCCCATGCGCCACCTGCAGACCCCTCTAGTGCCCTTCCTTCTCCTCCTGCCTCCTTCCTTCTCCTCTCTCATCCTGTTGATCCCCTCGCTCCTGCTGCTGCTGCTGATGCTCATTATCCTGTTCATTTCTCCACTTGATCCTCTTCCTTCTCTTCCTCCTCCTCCTCCTCCTCCTCCTCCTCTTCTGTCTCCTCGTTGTCGTCGTCGTCGTCGTCGTCGTCCTTCTCCTCCTCCTTCTCCCATCTTGCCTCCTGATCCTTCACCTCTCCTCGTCGCCCTCCTCCTCGTCCTAGGACCTAGTACAGAAGCAGCAGTTCATGCTCTTATGTGCACAAGCACTGCCCGAAGGCCAGAAGCTTCGAGAGAGCAACCACACCTGCCGTCAGAGGGTGGGCTCACACGCTGAAAGTTTTGTACTTGTAGTAGTCCCTGGCCGTTCTTGAGCAGAGTCCTGAACCCAGTCGGAAGGCATGGGCCTGCTCGTTCGAAGTGCGGTGCCGGGACCCCGCCCCTTCGAAGCTCGACAAGTCCCTCCTCCTCTTCTGCCTCTTCCTTCTCCTCCGCCTCCTCCTCTATCTGCTTGGCCCGACCTCCTCGGCTCAAGCCGCAGCGCGGCAGCCTGTCGGATGGCTCCCTGCATTCTGATAAGGTTCGAGTAGGGATCGATTACAGAATTGGTTTGCCCCAAATTCATCTCTTCGCCGGATCTACGAAAAAAATGCGTGGGATGCTCTGCGAACGCTCCACGTGTTTTCGTACCTTCGGCAAGAAACCAAGTTTTTGGGTAAACCGACTCTGTAGTCGATCCCCTACTCGACAGGTAGTTACATTACTTGTGGGCCATTGTGACGACGCAGTGCCCTCGACCACATGCGGGCCCTCGGAGACGTCCTGCGGCACCTCCTCCTGCTGCTCACCCTCGGCCCGAACGGCCAGGCCCCTCCTCCTGCGGCTCCCCCTCCTGCCCCTCCTGCTGCTGCTTCTCCCCCCCCGCTTCTTCTTCTTCTTCGCCCTCCTCCTGCGCCTCCTCTCTCTCTCTCTCTCTCTCTTTTTTTTTGGTTCTCTCTCTCTCTCTTTCTCTCTCTCTCTCTCTCGCTTCGTTTTTTTTTTTTTTCTATCCTCCTGCTGCCGCTTCTCCTGCTGCTGCTGCTGCTGCTCCTCCTCCTCCCTCTCCTCCTCCTCCTCCTCCTCCTCCTCCTCCTCTTCCTCCTCTTCTTCCTCCTCTTCTTCCTCCTCTTCTTCCTCCTCCTCCACACGCTGGAAGCCCCCCTTCCCCCTCCCCTTCCTCCTGCACTTTCGCCTGCTTCTGCTGCTTCTCCTCACCGTCCTCCTGTCCCTCCTCCCGCGCCTTCACCGCCTCCCCCCGGCCTCTCGTGCTGCGCCGTCGGCGCCACAGGCCCTCACCTGGCACCGCGCCCCCCCGGGCCAGCCGGACACGCCCGAGAAGCCGGGCTGCTACCTGTGGTCCCCCTCCGGGTGCCCGAAGATACCGAGGGTGCCCTTCGGGGAGGAGGGACCGAAGAGCATCGAGCACGCACAAACATGAACTCTTGTAGGTCCGCGCGGATTTTCAAAGGTTCTGCTCGTGCAACGTTTTGTTCCTCGAAGGGAGGCCGACACAGCTTCGACCTGTCGGTGCGCTGTCTCGAAGCCCCACTCGGGGCCAGCCGGCGCGCGCCCCACGCGCCAACCACCAGTCGAGTAGGAGATCGACTGCAAAATTGATTCGCTCCAAACTTGGAAGTCTCACCGAATCGACGAACATTATGCGGAATGTTCGTAGATCTACAAACATTCTACAGTGGTAACCCATGCCCAGAAGCACACGGCTTGCAAATTGATGGACGTCCTGGGGTCTCAGGCTTGGGTTTCTTATGGAAGGTTTGTTGTGGTCGAGCTCCTAGTGTACGTACTTTTCTCGTATGCGGGACGGAAAAATGACCACTGCCAGTGCTTCTTGTTTGTTGCCGCCTTCCAGCCGGCCCAAAAAGAAGCAGTGGTTGTGGTCATTTCCCTGGTGCCAAGCTTAACGAAAATGACCACAGCCACTGTTTTGTTTCTGCTGGCCAGAAGGCTGCAACAGAAGAAAAGCAGTGGCTGTGGTCGTTTTCACGTCCCGTATCGTAGGTTCGACAAGGGAGACAATGTCGGGGTGAATCACTTCTGCAGTCGATCTCCTACTCGAGCCAGAAGCATGGAAGGCTTGGCCCTGCCAGCTGCCCGCCGGTGCTCTCCGCGCGTAGCATGTCGGCGGCATGCCTCGGCTCGGCTCGCCTCGACCTGGGAGGACGGGGTGCACTTCCGAGGGTGCTCTCTCCGGGGCGGGTGCCGAGCATAGGGGACCACATGCGAACCCTACCCCTACCCCCCACGATTTCTGAGGGGGAGGGTGGGATTCACTTCGCTCGGGAGCTCCGGGGCGGGTGCCGAGCAACGGCTGGCGTTGCTCCTTTTTTCCCAACCGTCCTGTGGTGTCGGGTCCTCGTTTTGCAGAGACAGCGCCCCGCGTTCCCACTCCTCCTCCTCCTCCTCCCCCTCCTCCCCCTCCTCCCTCGTCCCATCCGCCTCAACATCGTCATCGTCAGCGTCATCATCGTCATCGTCATCGCCATCGTCTTGATCCACATCATCATGAGCATCGCCATCGCCATCGCCAGCGCCGCACCCCTCACACGCTTCGTGGCCCCACAGAGAGCTCCATGGTTCGTGGCCTCATAGGGAGCTCCGCCGAAGGCCCCAGTGGGAGCGTCCACATGGCGGCGCCGCCCCATTTCAACACATCCCTCACACGGTTCGTGGCCCCATAAGGAGCTCCACCGAAGGCCCCAGCGGGAGCGTCCACATGGCGGCACCGCCCCATTTTGGCGTACCCCTCACACGGTTCGTGGCCCCATAGGGAGCTCCGCCGAAGGCCCCAGCGGGAGCGTCCGCATGGCACCGCCGCCCCATTTTTGCACACCCCTCACACGTTCCGTGGCCCCAAACGGAGCTCCACGGAAGTCCCCAATGGCGACGTTCGCAGGAGTCCTCCCGACTCATGTCGGCACACCCTTCGCACGTTTCGTGGCAGAAGGCTATACCGCGTGCGCTACTCGGAGTTTGCGTGCCCCCCTCCTTCGTCTCATCTCCCTCGCGGCACTCGCAGCTGCATATGGTTGGGTCCTTCGTCAGGCTAATTTCACACATCAGAGGAGGAAAAAGGTACCCGTACCGCTACCCCTTGGCCTTTTTCCCCTTTTTGGGCATCCTGGGAGGTTCTCGTCGCCACCGCTGGATGCGCCTCGAAATTCTGGTCCGAACGCATCCCGGGAGAGGTCCAGGGAGTATAGCGATATCAGTACCTCTTGGCTTCCCCAACGCCGGGCGTTCTTGCCCGGTTTCGGGCTCGAGAGATGCCGCAGTCGACTGCACGTGAGAGTGACAATTCGCTGGAGTGACCTCTGGTGCGGGCTCATCGGGGTCCGTCCGATGGCCGAGCGCGATGCAATAGCAGCTGATTGCGCGCTTGGATTTGGCAACCCTGCGCCCCCTGAAGCCGCGCACCAAAGATCGCTCTTACCCAGGGTCCCTCTTGCGTGTAGCCGACGCAGGCAGATGCGGTCTGGGCTGCGCGAGGTTGCAGCTGTTTCGCGACGCTGGATCTCAGGGTTGGCGGCGCGCAGGGAGGTTGCAGGAAGGTGGCCGGGACGTGCGCCACTTTCGCTGCGGGATGGCGTAGGAAAGTGACATGAGAGCGCCGCCTTCCTGCATCGAGCAAAGCCCACCGCCTACTGAGTACCCATCAGGGCAGGGCTCTTGTAGTGCTTTGTGGCGACGTTGCAATTTTCCTGGTAAGGGCTCAGGCCAAGGGTTCTCTTGTAGTGTGCGCCCTGTACCAACAAGGTGAACAGTGTCGAGCAGGTGGCGTCGGAATTGGACACGTAAAAATACGTGTGCAGAAGGGGGGGTCTCCAGCATGCGTCTCGTCGCGCATGCGTTTGGCGCGTGTTTTCACATGTTTCTGGCGACAGCGGGGCCGCCAGGGATGTCTCAAACTTACTAGCACCGGACTCTTCACGTGTAGATTTACGCGCGCAGAGGGCGGCGTGTGCGGGGCATGTGTTTTCAAATTTCCACAGGTCGCGTCGGATACCCAACATGGTGTGAGGGGAGCTTTTCGCCTGTTGTGAGGAGGTCTCAGGCTAAACGCCTGGACTGCCCTGCCGACACGTCTGGGGGTGCGACAGGGATGAGTTATCAAAAGGATAATGGGTGGATGGAGGAGGAAGAGGAGGGCAAACGATAAGGAGAAAAGGAGGAGGAGGACGAGGATGATGCTGATGCTGATGATGATGCTGATTCTGATGCTGCTGCTGATGATGATGCTGATGCTGATGCTGATGCTGATGCTGCTGCTGATGATGATGCAGATGATGATGATGATGATGATGATGATGATGATGATGATGATGATGAGGATGATGATGGTGATGATGATGTTGATGTTTCAGATGATGATGCATCTGATGACGATAATGATGATGACGATGATTATTATGATTATGATGATGATAGGCCTTATGCTGATAGTGATGATGATGCTGATGATGACGATGATGATGATGACGATGATGATGATGATGATGCTGCTGATAATGATGATGATGATGATGATGATGATGATGATGATGCTGATGCTGATGATGATGTTGATAATGATGATGATGATGATGATGATGATGATGATGATGATGATGATGATGATGATGATGATGATGATGATGATGATGATGATGATGATGATGATGATGATGTGATGATGATGATGATGATGATGATGATGATGATGATGATGATGATGATGATGATGATGATGATGATGATGATGATGATGTGATGATGATGATGATGATGATGATGATGATGATGCTGATGCTGATGCTGATGCTGATGTGATGCTGAGCCGCTGATGATGATGAGGAGGAGGAGGAGGAGGAGGAGGAGGAGGAGGAGGAGGAGGAAGAGGAATAATAGGAGAAGGAGGAAGAAGGAGGAAGGCGAAGCGAGGAGGGAGGAGTTGGACGAGGAGCAAGAGGAGAAGGATGAGGAGGAGGAGGAGGAGGCGGAGGAGGAGGAGAAGGCGGAGGAGGAGGAGCAGGAGGAGGTGGGGGAGGCCGCAGATTGCCGGAAGGTGCGCTTCGACGCGTGGGCCCACGACACCCGGGGGGAGGCCAAGTTCGGAGCGGCGGACAGCCCAGAGGTGTGCGAGGTGGTCCGGAGGCAGCATTTCGCAGCCGTCTGCGGCACCGACGACATGCAGGCGTGCCTCCTGCTGCTGCTGCTGCTCCCCCCCTCTCGGGCGCATCGTTTCTTCCCAACCCTCCGGTGTCGGGTTCTCGTCTTGACTGGGGCACTGTCGTCGCGTCCCTCCTTCCCGCCTCCTTTCTCCCTCCTCCTCTCTCGCTCCCTCCGTCATCTCTGGGAGGCCGCGATCTGCGAAACCGTCGCCGCTTCCGAGGGCTGCTGGGGGGGCAGCACAGTGACGTCGTACGCGGAGTCAGATTAGACCTCGCCATCCCCGGGGGGGCGCGATTTGCGAAACCGTCGCCACTTTTGAAGGCTGCTGGGGGGGCTAGCACAGTGACGCCATACGCGGATTCAGATTAGGCCTCGTCACCCCTGGGGGCTGCGATCTCCGAAACTGTCGCCACTTTCGAGGGCTGCTGGGGGGGGGGGCAGCATAGTAACGTCATGCGCGGATTCAGATTAGACCTCGCCGTCCCTGGGGGGCTGCGATCTGCGAAACTGTCGCCACTTCTGAGGGCCGCTGGGAGGTCCAGCGGAGTGACATCCTACGCATGTTCATATTCCATCTCGCCATCCCTGGGGGGCTGCGATCTGCGACACTGCCGCCACTTTCGAGGGCTGCTAAGGGATCCAGCGGAGTGACGTTCTACGCAGCTTCAGATTCGACCTCGTCATCCCTGAGGGGCTGCGATCTGCGAAGCCGCCGCCACTTTCGAGGGCTGCTAGGGGGTCCAGTATGGTGACGTCCTACGCAGACGCAGATGAGACCTCGCGGCGCGCCTGCGCGCCTCTACATCTTACAGCGGAAAATGCCGGGAAGAGGCCCAGCAGCTGGCAGAGCGGCTCGGCCTCGCTCATTTCTTGTATGGGCTATAACCCTGGCATCGCTCGGACGTGTGCATTTTTTCTCGGCGAAAACCATCCTGGACCAACGAGCAAAACAAACACGCACGAAACCGACAAATGCACGGGAAATGGACGTCCGAACGACGGCAGGTAACTGATCGGTGGCGTGCCTCGAAACATGATCTCTCTCTCTCTCTCTCTCCTTCCTCTGCCTTTCTCTCGTCGCCACTTCCTTATTTCCTGTTGCCATGCCCTCTTGCTGCTGCCCCGCTGATTTTGCAAGATCCTCGTCCGTCTGCGCCTCCTAGTATTCGCCCCTCGTTCCCTTCGAGCCAGGGGAATAATTATTCATCTCCATCAAGCCTTTGCCCATCGATCGGTGTCCTGCGAGTTGCGCAGTTCGCGAGCCTCCCAAGTAACGTTCGCAGGACATCTAGCCATTACCACGCTATCGCCCCCTCTATCAAGTTTACCCGGCTACTTTGGCAACGCGTTGCGCAAGGGTTGGGTACATCGTCAGGGTATTCTTTTTGTCAGCCCCGCCGTTTCTGTTTCTCCCCCGTCTCGACCTTTTCAGGGTCGGTCTCGGGCCTCGTGGCGTTCTTCGAGACGTGGCCTGGGACGACCAGCTACCACGGGGACGGCTCCCCACGGGTCTCTCCTGTAGCTCTTGCTGGCCAGGCTTCCGCGGCGGATCCAGCTGTGGCGACGAGGCCCCTTCCCAGGGGGCCTACACGGCTCAAGCACGGGCCGCAAGAACATCAGTCCTCGATCCTCGTTGCACTCTTCCTCCAACGGTGTAGGCGTGCTTCGTGCCCAGTGGGGGGTCGAAGCTGCCGTGCGGCATGGCGGGTGCGCTGGCCTCCGAGCAGCGGCGCGGGGAGAACAGCAGCGGCGTCGGCCGTGGTGCGCTCTTTGCGGCTGCCGCCTCGAACAGCTCTGAGAAGCGGCTCGCTCCCTGGGGTGCCGCGGGGCCAGGGGTGGAGGCGGCTTCGGACAAGATGGCAGCGGAGAAAGTGGCGGCGGTGATGGAAGAAGCGAAGGCTGATGAAGCGGAAATGACAGCGGAGAAGGTTGCGGCGGATGCGGAAGAGGCGAAGGTCGCGGAGGCCGAGGTGGCAGCGGCGACGGAAGAGGCGACGGTCGCGGAGGCCGAGTTGGCAGCGGAGAAGGTGGTGAAGGATGAAGAGGCGAAAGCCAGTGAGGCTAAGCTGGCAGCGGAGAAGGTGGCGGAGGCGGAGGAGGCAAAGCCCAGTGAGGCTAAGGTGGCAGCGGAGAAGGTGGCGGACGCGGCGGAGGCTGAGGCCGAGGAGGCTGACGTGACGACGATGCCTACGAAGGCCAGTGAAGCTATCAAGGCGTCATTCCAGGCGAAGGCTGCGAAGATGAAGGCGGAAGAGGCAGAGAGGGCGATGGAGGCCGCGAAGGAGGCGACGAAGGCTGCCGAGGCTGAGGCGGACGCGGCGGCGAAGGCGGCCGAAGCAGAGGACACGAAGGCCGCGGCGGTGGCGGAGGCGGTGAAGGCGGCGGAGGCGGTGAGAATGGCAGCCGAGGCGGCGCAGGCACAGGCGGAGAAAGATGCCGAGTCTGCGAGGGCGGCAGCAGCGCTCAAGCTGCGGGAGGCGTCGGCAGCGGTGAAGGCGACCCAGCAGGAGGCGGAGAAGGCGGCGGACGCGGCGGCGGCGCTGGAGGCAGCAAGGAAGGCGGAGGCAGAGGCGAGGCGCCAGCTCGCGGCCCTCGGGCCCACGAAGCTGGAAGTGCGAGCCGACCCGCTGGAGCGCCTCGCGGGCGCTCCGGAGCCAGCTGCGGCGGAGCCAGCGACCCATTTGGTGGAGCCCACCGAGGCTGTGCCAGAGCGTGCCGCGATGGAGCTGGCGAACATGTCGGAGCCAGCTGTAGGAGAGGCTGAGTCCGCCGCTCTGGAGCCAGCGGCCACGCTGGAGCCCGCCACGGCAAAGTCAGAGGTTGCCGCGCCGGAGTCGGCCGCCACGCCAGAGCCAGCCGTGGCAGAGCCGGAGCCAGCTGCGGTGGAGCCCGCAGAGTCCGCGCAGGAGCCTGCTGCAGCAGAGCCGGAGCCCTCTGTGGAGCGGGCGGCCGCGTTGGAGCCCGCCACGGCAAAGCCAGAGGCTGCCGCGCCAGAGTCGGCCGCCACGCCAGAGCCAGCTGTGGCAGAGCTGGAGCCCACCGTGTCGGAGCCCGCAGTGTCCGCGCAGGAGCCAGCTGCAGCAGATCCAGAGTCCTCTTTGGAGCGGGCGGCCGCGCTGGAGCCCGCCGCAGCAAAGCCAGAGGCTGCCGCGATGGAGTCGGCCGCCACGCCAGAGCCAGCTGCTGCGGCAGAGCTGGATCCCACCGTGTTGGAGCCCGCAGTGCCCGCGCAGGAGCCAGCTGCAGCAGAGCCGGAGCCCGCCGCTTTGGAGCCGACAGTCGCTCTGGAACCCGCGCCCGAGCTGGCCACGGCCTCGCTGGAGGACGTCGCAGCCGCGCCCGCGGCCATGCCGGAGCCCGCCAGAGAGGAGCTGGCGGCCGTGCCAGAGGCCGCCGCCGTCGAGCCCGTCGCGGCCGCACCAGCGGCGGCTGAGCCGGTGGAGGGGATGCCTTCAGAGGTCGAGGGCGGGCAACACTTCGAGCTACTCATCGCTCGTGCGCTCGTCGCTCAGACACCCGTCAGCCTGCCAGTGCCCACCCGGCCCCCTGCCCAGCCACCCCTCCCCCTCAGACGGCCGTCCTTTCAAGTTTTCTTTCAACGCGCGGCACGCGGAGCCCCCGACCCCCCCCAGGGATGCTCCTGTGATTCTCAGACCTGGGCCGCTTCTTGATGGTCCTGGGGTCCGAAGCGTGACCCCGAGAGGCCCAAGCCGAGGATCTGTTTGACCACGCTATGGGGGTTTCTCTGCCCCCTCCGCTGCCGCCTCCCCGCCGACGGTCAGGAACTTGTGCGTATAGGCAGCGTGTCGCGTCGCCCGTTCTGGCCCACCACGCTTCGGCGCGACACGCCCACCACGTCTCAGTCCCCAGCCTCCCGCCTCCTCCCGATCTTCTCCAAGCCTCCCGCTCCGCGGAGCGGGGCGACACGCGACCTGCTTGCCAGACACAGCGTGTCACCGGGGCTGCTCAGCCGCGACACGCCAAGCAAAAGTTCCCGACCCTGCCTCCCCACCCCCCCAGCGTCGTGATGTTTTCATGACGTGACCCTCAGAAGTCTGGACCCCTTCCCGGGGACTGGTTTTCCGCCCCGAGTCGTTTTTTGAAGGTCCCGAGGCCCGGCTAGGGCCCACGGAGGCCAAACATAGTACAAAACCTCCCGTCGTGATTTTTTCACGACGCGAGGGGGTCTGGGCCTCCCTCCCTGGGCGCCCGTCTCCCCGCCAGGCCTGGGAGGAGAAGAGCCTGCCCCTCCTCCCGGAGACCGCCGCAGAGGAGAAGCCCTGGGAGGAGGAGAGGCCCTTTGAGGCACCTCCGGAGGCCGGGGATGGGCAGTCCGCCGCGGAGCCGGCCGCGGTGCCGGACAAGGAGGAGGCGCCCCTGGACCCGCAGGCTGGGACGGAGCCCGGCTCGGAGGAGCTGGCCACGCCGGCGGTTGAGAAGGAGGCGGCGTCCTTGGACCCGCAGGCCGGCTTGGGCCTGGGCTCGGAGGAGCCGGCCGAGCAGACGGACGAGCAGGAAGTTGGCGCACGAAGGGCGGTAGCACATTTTGTTGTTTTTCTCTCGTCGGGGGCGACTGTTACAGGACGGCTGGGAAGTTTATACCTGGTGGCGGCACATGCGGGTATAAACTTTCCAGCCGTCCAGGCGCCAGCGATTGCGGAACAGTGTTATTCCTATTCCTACATTTTTGTTAGCCGGAACCCCCTCCCTCCCCCCCCCCCTCCCCCCCCCCTGAAACGGACCCCCCCCAGGGAAGCCCCGGACACCCTTTCGGATGTCTCGGCGGCCCCCTGGACGCCTTTGGTTCGCTGGCCCTTCCGGGCCTCCCAAGGCGCCTTGCGAGCAGACTCAAGGCGATCAGAGGAGTCATCGGACAGGCGCACGAGAGACCCAAGACACAGCACAAGAGCGCTCCAAGAGGAACCTCAATGGTCTGAAGACGGCCCAAGAAGCCCCCAAGACGCCCCAAGAGGGCGTCAAGAGAGCCCCGAAGAAGCAACAATCGTCCCATTCCCTTAGGTTTTTTCTTTTTGTGTTTTAAGAAATCAACTTTTTGGCTCTTCGCAGCGTCCAAGACGGCCCGATGGGCCCCCGATATCGCCCCAAGACGGCCCAAGAGGCCCCCCAGAGGGCTTGAAGACAGCCCAAGAGAGACCCACGAAAGCCATGGGAGACCCCGAGAAGGCCATCGGAGGCCACCCCCTGGATGGCTTCAGAAGACCTCTGGAGGGCCCCAGCTCCCCAAGACGGCCCAAGAAGGCCCCAGGACGGCCCAAGATGGCCCCAGGACGGCCCAAAAGAGCTCCACAAACGTCCAGACGGCGTTCTGCTACGAAGTACATCGAGCTGGCCCGAAGGTCTTGGTTCCACGCTTGAGGCTCGAGGCTCCCCAATCTGAGCTTGCCTCTGTAGGGGTCCTAGCGGATTCTAAAGGATTAGGATTTGTGCGGCAGAATTTCGGTGGGCCGGGTGCCCGGGTGCCCGTGGGTGCCCGGTTCCCCAGGATTTCGGTGGCCGGGTGCCCCGGTGCCCGGGTGCCCGGGTGCCTGGGTGCCCGTGGGTGCTCAGGTGCCCGGGTGCTCGGGGGTGCCCGGAGGTGCCCGGGAGTGCCCGGGTGCCCTATAGCCATGGAGCCCTATAGCTTTATAGCTCTAGAGCCCGATAGCCCAATATCCCAATAGCCCATATAGCCTTATAGCCCTATAGCCCTATAACCCTATAGCCCTATAGCTCTATGGCCCTATAGCCCTAGATTCCCAGAGCCCCATAGCTCTAGAGCCCTATAGCCCTCTAGCCCTATTGCTCTATAGCCCTACAGCCCTCTAGCTCTAGAACCCTAGAACCCTATAGTCCTATAGCCCTATAGCCCAATAGCCCAATAGCCCTGTAGCCCTATACCCCTATAGCCCATATAGGCCTTTAGCTCCTTAGCCCTATAGACCTATAGTCCTATAGCCCCACAGCCCCAACAAACATCTGATTGGGGCTTTTCTCCGGTATCATTGACATTCCTCGATCGAGAGAGACAGGTCTCCCCCCTCCTTCTCCCCCCTTCCGCCTCTTCAGCCCCCCCTCATCCCTGCTCTCTTCCCATGTCCCGTTCATGGACAAGCGCCATCGCAACAGTTTGATGCTTCGTCGTTTGCCAGCGTCATCGCGCGTGAAAATCATCATTGCTTCCCCACTCCTGCGCAGAACCGTGC